TACGTACATACATACACACACACACACACACATATATATATTATTATTATATATATATATATATATATATATATATACCTAAATTAGGTATAATTACTCCTGTCGTTTTTAAGTGACAGGTATGGCTTATAGGTTCAATGGAACCTTTATGTTAAAAATGGTATATATTCATAGGTATTTACTTGCATTGTTACATGAATACGTATATGCAACACGAAGGTTTGAATTATGGAATGAATTAATGTTGATAGGAATCCCGCTATCTACATTATGACATCTATGCTTTCGCATACAGGTGTTCTTCTTTTATATCATCATCAATCTGCTGCTTTTTTGTGTCTAGTATTTCAAGTGTCGTAACCTGCAATCGTTCACTTTCAAAATTCGGAATATTTACAGATGCAAAAGCAAAGATGGGGCCCGTGTCCTTCGTGCATGTTTTGAGCGTACAGCCGAAAGAGATCAAGGTATGTTGAGTGTCAGTATCTCGAATTTTCTTGTGATTATATGTTTCATTGTAAATTGCATTCTGAGTCTTTAGTTGTATTACAGATTGGCCTACAACTAAGCCTGAATTTGTCTACATGTCCGTAGGATCTTGCTAGCATGATATCCATTGCAGATTCAGCTTCGTGCACAATTGCGGAACGAATTGAGAACACAAAAACAAAAAGCCAGATTACCTGCTCCACCATTAAACCCAGGGCCGGACGCAAGGTGATGTTTGTAGAGTATATTTTTGCCACTCTCCTTTTATAATTAGAGAACGTTAACTCGCCGCCGCTCCTATGCTGGGCGACCACACATTTGCTTAGCGTCCGTGGTCTCTCGTCTCTTCTTTTGATTTGTAGATCAAACACATTGCTCAGACAACCTCTAAGCTCACCGATACAAGTCGCAATGACGTCTGCACCACAGATTGAAGAACCGAGAGTTGTGAAAAAGGACAGCACATCGAGCACTCTGTCGACCAAACCGACCACAGCCACCGCCACAGCTCAGTCAAGTACAGCCACTTCGAAACCGACTGGACTGTTTTCTGCGAAGGCAAAGTCTAGTGGTAAATCCGCAAAGCAATCCTGGGCTCAAGCACAGATGGCCGCGGCCATGAGTCGAAAGCCTGAGGACAAGCCAGAAAAAAAGTATCGTTTGTCTATCTCTTTATCCGTCTCAGATATGGTCACAAGAATTCGACGAGTGCTACTAGTTTGGTGTTGGAATACTATAGTATACTGTACCCAGTGTGGTTCCACAGTTTAGTGCTAACTTCACCACATATTCCCCTGAGTGATTCAGGCCAGTCTTGTCATGCGTACTCAATTGTGCTTGTACTGAACTTCACGATGATATTTAGGAACACCATGTCTAAGTCCAAGTCTAAAGCTCTCAAGAACCTCGAGGCGGCTACCGCAGCTATGGCAGCTAGAAAACCAGCCGTCAAACGCAAGCTTAAGAAGGAAGCTGATTCGTGGATCGTCGCCGATGGTGAGGAGAGCGACTCAGAAAGCGACAGCGCCGACGAAGAGGAAGCCGATAGAGCGGCTGAAGGATCAGACGACGACCATGATGGTAGGGATGAGCGCTACATGATCACTTGACTTCCTCCGGTACCCTTCTTTTGATTGATTTTTGAGATGTATATTTTTTGCCCTCGTAAGGCATTTTCACTCGTGGGTGAGTGTAGTACATTCTGTATCATCGAGTCGTGAGTAGTTCCCGTGCGGGTCAGCTCTCAGACTGTCCTGTGCTGACTGTGCGTCCTATATTTATAGAAGAGGTGCAGATGAGTCGGAAACGCCCTGCTGTGCGCCGTGGCGTGGTAGAGGACAGCTCGGATGAGGAAGAGGAAGAGGAAGAAGAAGAAGTAGTAGAAGTTAAACAGCAAGAGAAAAAAACAAAACACGTACCAAAAGCCAGTCAGGACTCTACCGGTCAGTCCCAGCCGGAAGCAGAAGCGGATAACAAAGTTGCCACGGAGAAGTCCCATAGTATTACTGAAGAGGAAAAGAATCAGGCAGAGGACGATGTCCCTGATAAGGCGGTAAAAGCGACGATGAAGCCAGATGATATCATAGACCTTTCGTCAGTCGTGTCGCAGGGCGTTAATGCAGAGGACGTTGACACTGCACAGCTGCTGGAAGGCCTCGACGATGACACGGATTTATTCATGGATGATGTATGTGGTGAGCATATTTTATTTTCTGATGCCCTAGCCGTTGACAGTTTATATCAGATCATAACGTAGCCTGACATCAGGAGGTGGTCACACATTGTGTAGTGATCGCTAAAGAGCCAATTGTTGTTTCCCTTCCCTGGACCTTCATATGCAGGTGGGAACGAATAAACCGGATAGAGCCAAAGCGAAGAAAAATACCGTCAAGAAGCATCAAAAACGAGCCGCTGAAAAAGAGGTATGCAGTTACGATTTTTTTAACAAATAATGTGACAGACTCGATAACTTGCCGCGAAGAGATCGATTTTTCAAAGCGATGCATCACATTTTTTACTGATAGGAATTTGTACCAGCCCCTAAGGGAATAGAGGTGCCACCGGGAAAGAAAGTAATCAAGATCACCAAGCAGCAAGGAAAAAGGATGAGTATGTATTTTGTTCTCTCACCCCAGTTTTGTTTCCCGCTCGGTGGTGTTTTCCAATTTTGATATCCTCTTGTTATACTGCGATTCAGACAATTTGGACATAATTTAAATAGATACTTCATTATAGTTTACAGCAAGCACGAGTGGTATCCAAGCCGTACGACAGTGAGATTACTGATCTGATATCGTTTCTAACCTTGATGCACACACACCTTCATATACTTATCATCAGTTACTGAAAACGTCATTGTCGATGATGAGGATTATGTGCCGCCTAAAAGGCAAAAGTTTAATAGTCCGAAGAAGCCCCAGGCAAAGTCAATCGCGAAGGGGAAGAAGGCTACCAAAAAGGGGCAGGCGTCCATCACAAGTTTTTTCAAGAAATCCTAATATGGCGTGAGATTTCTCAACGCAGCTAATAAATAATGATTCATACAAACACCTTTCGGTCTGATATGAAGATATGCTTGAAATTCACTCACAAATTAGATAAGCGGAAATTAATCTCCAATGTTTGGGTAGCTTCACCGCGGTGATAGAGGAGACCTCGACTACTGAAGAATTGTAGCTACAAAATTAGACTATCTAGGTCTTGCAATTTGTATAGTTATTATGTAATGCTAGACTGAGCGGTTCGTAGTTCAAATCAAACCCATCGAAAAACGTATACAAAAGTTCAACAAGAAGCTTATAATATGAAGGAAGGCATCGTTGTCAACACGGTTGTCCGATTTTGTTTCACGCTCATTAAACCATTGTCTAATTGTTTCCTGGATTGGCATATATATATATTCACATACTAATGCCAAGTTTTACGTAGGAAATAGTCGGTTGTGCAGGACAAATCGTACTAGACTCGACTAGAAATATTTTTTTTAAAAGAAAGTCGATTGTATGAAATTTGAGCAGCAATTATCCGGAATTTTTACTAGCTATTAAAAGTCTAGTTTTCCAGTCACCATGTAATCTCTCAAAAGCTGTCTTCCCTTGCTTCAATCCGGTTCTTATTTTTTCGTCGGTCCAAGTCTGGAACGTGGTGATAAAAACATAAGCATAATCGAAATTGATAACTTGAAGTGATGGGACACACTACGCTGCGCAACACTTTTGTCTCAAATTGCTTTGGGGTTTGACAATAACAATACTGAGTTCTCTCTATGATATAGACATACATACATACATATATATATCGATATATAGAGATTGAAAGTTATATATAAATGTATATATACACACATACACACACACACATATATATATATATATATATACCTATATATATACATATATACTTAAAGGTACATATATATATATATATATCGATATAGATAGATTAATAGTTAGATAAAAGAATAAAATATACATATACATATATACGTATATATGTATGGGTGCATACACATACACACACAC